TGCAAATTAGTGCAACCTTTGTGGAAAAGAATTTGGAGATATCTCAAAGAGCTAAAAATAGAAATACCATTCGACCCAGCAATAACCTTATTAGGCATCTACCCAAAAGAGCATAAGACATTCTATTATAAAGACATCTGCACCCAAATGTTTATGGCAGCACAATTCACTATTGCATGGTCATGGAAACAACCCAAGTGTCTGTCAATTCATGAGTGGATTATTAAAATTTGGTATATGTTTACAATGGAATATTACTCAATTCTAAGAAACGACACCGAGCTAGCACCACTTATATTATCCTGGATTGAGCTTAAGCTCATTATCCAAAGTGAGGTAACACAAGATCAGAATAATGGGCTCCACATATACTCGCCATCAAATTGGTACTGACTGATTAACACTATGGTGCTCAAAGGGTGGTAGTGTTCACCAGGGATTCGGGAGTTGGGGGGGTAGTCCCACAGCTGAGGGATGTGGTGAACATTGTGGAGGGGAAAGACATACCTCTAACCTTTGCTAGGGAGAGGCAAAAATATAAAATGTAACCAAAATGTTAAGAAAAAAAGATAAGCAAACATTTGTCGGGTGTGGGGCAGGTGGGAGGGTGAGGAGGGGATGGGTATATACATACATAATGTGATGCACATGTCTGGGGGATGGACATGCTTGAAGCTCTGCCTTGAGGGGGTAGGGGAGACAAGGGTAATGAATGTAACCTTAAAATTTGTACCCCCATAATATGCTGAAATAAAAAAAAAGAAAAAAGGGGATAAAATATGCCCATTAAACACATGAAAAGTTTCCTATCATCATTGATCATCTTGGAAGTGTAAATTAAAACCACAATAAGTTACCACTACATTTACACTAGAATAGACAAAGTGAAACAGCCAGTAATACTAAGTGTTGGCAAATATGTGGATCAACTGGGACTGTCAGCCATTGCTGGTGTGAGTAAAAACAGTTTAGAAAAAGTTTGGTGCTTCTTTTTATAAATTTAAACATATACTTACCATTTAACCCAACAATTCTAATTTTGCATATTTAGCCAAGAGAAATGAAAGCATATATATATAAAGTCTTGTACATGCACTGTTCATAGAAGCTTTATTTGGAGTAGCCAAAAATTAAATAATCCAAATATCCATCAAGAGGTTTAATAGATAAGCAAATTGTAGTGTATCCATTCAGTGGACTACTTGTCAGTAATAAAAATCAAGAAATAGCTCAATCACACAACATGCATGAATCTCAAAACCACTGCTCAATGAAAGCAGTCACAGTAAAGTAAATACTACATGATTTCATGTTTATAACATTCTAGAAGAGTCAAAATTAATCTAGTATCACAGAAGGCAGAGCGGTAGTTGCTTATGGATGGAGAGCAAAATTGGGGAACTTAATAGGGTGACAAAAATGTTCTGTATCTTGATTCCGGTAGTGGTTACATGAGTGTATATATGTCAAAAGTTGTAAGACTTGAAATTGTTTCATTTTTGTATATAAATTATACTTTAAAAGTTGATTACAAAATTTAAAAATATATTTCACTCATTAGAATGCATCAGAAAAAATTTAGTAAGACTATTAACCTTATAATAATTAACAGTTGTTTAAATAAGTGGAATGTACTCTGACAGAGATTCTTTACACTACAAAAGAAAAAGAATTGTTTGCAGAAAAAGAATTGCTAAAGGCAATTTCTATTTAATATCCATGTTTTTAAAAAACCATACAAAACGTACATTAGTAGATAATTTTTTGGATCTGAAAGAATTATCATAGGGTTCTTTGGTTAACACTGTGGAATGGGCCACTAGATATTGCATCTTTGCTTACGTCTTTTGATTAATGTTCCACATATCCTTGAAGGCTTGGTTAAATGTCAGTTATTCTTTAACACCTTTTCTTGGCTTTGGTTGGGTTCATTGCCCTGTCTTTTGTGGCCCTGCTCAGCACCTTATACTGAGGTGCATGTATTTTCATGCTTGTCTTTGAACATCTGGAAAACGAAGCATGTGTATTCATTTTTCTATTTCTAGTGTTGGGCATACTTGAGAAATAGTAGGTTTTGAATAAATGTTGTTGAAATATGATTCATATTAGTCAAAAGTACTTTTCCATTTATTTAATTAATCCATTTAAAAAACATTTATCGAGCTTCTACTCTTTCAGTAGGCAAGGCATACAGCAGTGAACAAGATATCAATATGTGTCCATGTAGAGCTGACATTCTAGTGGAAGAGATACATTTAGTATATTTTAACAGTGACTACAGAATATATGATTGTTTGGATAAAAGAAAATGGGGGGGGGACTACTTCATCATAGTCAGAAGAAACTTGAGGGAGTGACATCTGAAAAGATGCATGAAAGGTGACAAGAAGCCTGCTTCCGGAAGAGCCACTGGAAGAGCCCAGGGATAGTTTGTCTGGAAATGAGAGGTTTCCCTGGTTGTTAAGATGTCAGTGCTAAAAACATGAAGGCCCTGGGCAAACCAGGAGTGGCCCAACTGCTCCACTTGAGCTCCAGGTTCCTTCCCCTCTCTCAAGGATTTAACTCCTGCAGTTATTCTGATTTTTGGTTGCATCATTAATTTTATTTTTGTATTCTAAATAATTACTCAGCACACAAATTATCTAGTATCTCCTAGCTTAGGAAGACCCTCTATTGACCCTATATCAATTTTTATTTTTCTTCTTCTAACATTCTCCCAAAGAGCTATGCTCGTTCCATTCTTTCCCTCCCTTATATCCGATTCACTTTTCAACCAACCACTTCAGTGTGGCTAAGCTTTCACTGCTCTGTTCATATTTTTCAGTAAGGTTAACTCCAAGAGCCCAAGTCACTCATTACTGTCTGGCACTTACTCTCACCCTCTGCATTTGAAACATTGTTCTTTCAGCTTCAAGGACCCCTTTTCAAGTTTCCTCCTGCTTCACTGGCTATTTCTTCTCAATCTCTAGTAGTGGATTCCTCTAGGTCATTCTTGTAGTTAAAACCTCCTCTCTGAGTTTCACAGCAACCATCTTACTATGATGTATTTTGAGCTTAATTTTAATATATCAAAAAGAAAATGCTCAATACCTTCTCCCTCACCTCTATCTACCCTTATATCCTACCAAGGTAATTTTTTCCTTCTCTAAGTTAAAGACCACCCAGATGCTCAATCCAGAAATCTGGAAATAATTTTTTACCTCTCTACTCAACCTTTTATAGGAGCCCCATGTCTTTGTTTCATGTTGCTATAACAATATCTGAGACTGGATAATTTATAAAGAAAGGTTTATTTAGCTGACCATTCTGCAGGCTGGGAAGTTTGAGAGCATGGACCTTGCTTCTGGCAAGGGCTTCTATGCTGTGTTATTACATGGTGGAGAAGGTCAAATAGGAAACAGACACATGTGAAGAGGGACCAAACAGGAGGAGGAACCTCACTTTATAACAATCTGCTCTCACAGAAATGATTCCATTCCCAGAGAACTACCTTGAGAAAGGCACCAAGCCATTCATGAGGGATCTTTCCCCATGACCCAAACACCTCTCACTAGGCCCTACATCTTAACACCACATTGGGGATGAAATTTCACCACGAGTTTTGGTGGAGAAAAGCTCAAGCCCTAGCACCCTCCTTCAGCTCCCTCCAAAGTATAGCTCTATCATCCACTTCCTTTTCTCAACTTCTACTATACCAATTTGGACTAATCAATAAAAGTCTCCTTCTTGGCCTACCTCACTAACTAGATTTCTAACAGTCTCCCTGATTCATCTCTTTTTCCACTATAATCCACTCTCTACATTCAGCCAGTGTAATTAATGTATAATGTACATAATAATGATTATATGTAATAATCAACATATGTATTGCATTACTGTGTATAAGAATATATCTGTGTATAAGAATATATCTGTGTATAAGAATATATCTGTGGCAGAGATAGTACCACAGATATATTCTGTTCTGAGCAAACAATTTCATCTGTTCCCTTATATTTTCCATTCTCCTTAAGTGAAACAGAGCTACATGACTACCTCTGGCCAATACCCAATGTTAATTTTAAAACAAAGCTGGTTGTATATTGTATGTTCATAGCAGCATTATTCACAGTTCCCAAAAGGTGGAAGAAACCCAAAATGCCCATGTGGATGGATAACCAAATTGTATATACACACAATGGCGTATTATTCAGTCCTTAAAAAGGAAGGAAATCTTGACACATACTACAACATGGAAGAACCTTGGGAACATTATGCTAAGTGAAATAAGCCAGTCACAAAAGGACAAATACTATATTATTTCAACTTAGATGAAATACCAAGAGTAGTTAAACTCATGGAAACAGAAAGTAGAATGGTGGTTGCCAAGGGGCTTGGGGGAGAGGGAAATGGGGAGTTGTTTGATGAGTATATAGTTTCAGCTTTGTAAAATGAAGAAGTTCTGGAGATTGGTTGCACAACAGTGTGGGTATAGTTAACTCTACTGAAGTTAGTACATCCTGGGCAAAGTGAGACAATTAGTAGCTTTACAGAGACCTTGCAACTTTGAACATAAATATAATTGTTCCTTAAAAGCTAGCTGTTTTTGAACAGATGATGGTAAACCTGGAGGGTAAATTTAGAATATAAATATACTTTTGCATTTATTCTCCATCATATTCTATGAGGTCATTTTAAGTAATTGCCTCTCCCCCAAATGCTCTTAAAATTGTTTGAAAGTACGTATTTATTGAAGCTCATGTATACTAGAAAGCAAGCAAACATTGACTCTGAGAATGTTGCCTTAGATTGTAAAATAGCATCTACTCAATAACTCCTGCAGTTATTCTGATATTTTGCAGGAATATCTTTGTGGAATATCTTTGATATTTAGTTGACCCTTGGTTCTCTCAGAAGATAAGTGGTCTGTAATTTGACTTTTTACTCTATTATAAATATATTTTTAATGATCTGTTTGACTTTGATAAGTGTTTTTTCCAATGTTTCATTTGTTTTTGCAGGGTATTTTTGCATTCCTTCTTTCCATGATGTGATTCTTCACCCCAGGAAGAATAAGATGTGTCTGTAATTAAAATTGCTTCATCCTTAGTGTTTTTCAGCCCAGGATCGCTATATGTAACTAATGCAGTTACATTACAAGTAAGACACGTTACAGTACTTCCCCCCCCCCCCTTAATCTACAGAGATTCACCAACAAAAGCAAATTACAGACTGGCTTGAAAAGTACTCCTATGCTCACTTTGATCTTGGCAGTTTAATGACATACAGTGTTAAAGTATTATTTGAATGTTTCACATTGCCTAGGTTTTCTTCTTTAAGTGTTTGTAAGCACATCAGATTTGTGACTGTGTCATCTTGCTGTTCTCTGTAGTACCCCAGCACACAGTTATATACCCAGTATGTACATAGAACATTTTTATTGAATGGATACATGTAACCTTTTTGCATTGATTCAGGGAACTAAAATAAAATGTTTCCTTAGTAAGTACAAATTTTCTGAAGCACAGATGAAATTTAACTTGCTTCATATGATTCAACCAATGGATAGTATGCATGTTTCTTGCTCAATTTGGTAATGGTCAAGACAGACAACAGACCCCTAAGCTGATTACTAAAGTAAAAAAAAAAAAAAAATCAACTTATATTTAAATAATTAGAAGTAATTTAAATAATTTAAAATTCCAAGAATATCAGAGTAGCATGGGTTATATTTTCTATTTTATATAGGATTTGATTTGACTGAACCCTAACTCTTTTTAGGACTGATTTAATTCTTTGTTCTTTGGTTCTATGTTAATTTTTATAAGCTTAGTATATGTATAAATTTATTATAATAGTATATTGGACCTAACTTAGTACTTTATTATACTTGAACTTATTCTTTTTACTTGGGTGTACTTTACCACGTATTTCATTTCAGTATTATCTCATTATTAAATAATGCTTATTGTTACCACAGTAAATGAAAATGGGTTATGTAACATTTAAAAATTTATTTTCAATCTACATGTAGTCATCAAAATATGTGAAAATACATATGATTGCATTAAGATTTACCCCAATTTAATTTTGTTCTCTCTTTCAGTTTTTCTGGAACATTAACTAGTTGCACTGGACATGCTGCTGTTCTTTACTTTGGGACTGCTCGTACATTTTGTGTTCTTCGTCTCCATCTTTGACATTTATTTTACATCTCCTTTGGTTCATGGAATGACTCCTCACTTTACACCATTGCCTCCTCCAGCAAGAAGATTAGTGCTCTTAGTTGCTGATGGCCTCCGAGCAGATTCCTTGTATGAATTAGATGAAAATGGAAACTCCAGAGCACCATTTCTTAGGTAAGACATGTCAACAGATACAGACATCTCTTACAAATGTTATCCTGAGCTTAAGTAAACAGCAAAATATCTTATTGTTTATCTCACAGTGGGCACAGGGGTGATGATGAAAAAGATATGCTTGTACATTTGCCTTTCTCTATCTTTTTTTTATTTTATTTCAAAATTTAAGGGGATAAAAATGTTTTTGTTACATGGATACCTTGTATAATCCTTAAGTTAGAACTTCTTGGGTGCCCATCACCCGAATAGCGTTCATTGTACCCAATGGGTTGGTTTTTACCCCTCACCCCCTTCCACCCTCTCCACTTCTTGGATTCCACTGGCCTTTACATCTCTTTGTGCCCGTGTGTGCCCATCATCTAGCTCCCAATTATTAGAGAGTACATGTGGTGTTTGTTTTTCTATTCCTGAGATACTTCACATAGGATAGTGGTCTCCAGTTCCATCCAAGTTGCTGCAAGAGACATTATTTATTCCTTTTTATGATGGCTCATAGAAATGCATAATATACTAAGGATAGAAATAAATAAATGAGCAACTCAGGTCAATAGGGAAATATTCGTAAGAAAATAACATCAACCCAAGGTTAAGTACAGTACATAAAAATGTGTAACATAAATTCCTATAAATACTTAAAATATTTGAGTGAATTTCCTAGTTGCCAAAAAAGAGAGAGAAATATAATTCATTTTAAACTTACTGGTCGTGAAGGAAAACTTAAGCTTTTCTGGTAGCACTTTTGGTCTTAGTAAAGGAAATGCTGTGGGCCAAGGGCTCAAAAACAGTTAATATATTTTGTGTTGTATGTCATTATATATTTATAATTTCAGGAATCTTATATCTTCTTCTAAACTTGTTTTGAATGGTTTAATTTTTAGAAATTATTATATAAACTAACATTTTAAAATAGAAATATCCAAATTCTTTTGTTACCTCTTCTCTTTCAAGTCCAGTTTTCATTATATAACTCAAGAAGTTACAGAATATTTCTCCCTAAATATCTGGTCCAATGGTTTCCAAACCATTTTCTTATTATGTGTGTATTTTATCAAAATTGCTTTCATTGTAAGGTAAATCAATATTAATAGAAAATATATCAGTATTTATGAATATTTTTCTTCATAATGTATTGAGAGTCAGGTGTTTATCTTGAAAAATGTTATTGATGTATTCACTGTTTTATAACTTGTTGTTTTGCTGGCCTTTTACCTGTAATGGTATCACTGGTGGTTTTGCTTTTTTCCATGAATTTTGCAAATCTCTGTTACCACTTAAATAATGTTGATACATTTTAGCAAAAGAAATTTTTGCCCATCATAATCTCTAATTTAGGAATTTGTCTCCGAATTAGGAGAAAAACCATTTCTCTTCTCCTTAATATTTTCAGATAATTTCAACTACACACACACATACACATATGTGTATGCCTGCACACACTGCACACACACTGTGTACATGTGCATGCACCTAGTTTTAATTTTTTTTTTAACAATTTGAAAGCAAGGCATGTGACACTTCACCCCTAACCACTTGAGCATATATCTCTTGAGAACAAGGACTGTTACACAACCACAATACTATCATCACACCTGACAAAATTTAACATTAATATTATATATATATATATCAGTTATCACTATGTAACATATAGTTATCTCTATGTAACAAACCATCTCAATATGTTGTGGCTTAAAACAACAGTGGTCTATTTTGTCTCATGATTCTGTGCAGTGGGTGAAGTGTTTCTTTGATGGTCTCACCTGGGCTCATTCAGGCTACTGCATTCAGCTGGTGGGGGCTCATACTGGGCTCAGCTAGGATTTAGAAGATTCCTTTTCTTGTTAAGTTTCGACTTACTTTTTTGGTTTTGATTCCTTCTGTAATAATCTTACTTTTCTAAAGCCTTACGAGAGTATTTAACCATAATCTGTGTTAACTATTTCTCGTAAATATCTTTTAGGAATATCATAATGCATGAAGGCAGCTGGGGAATATCTCATACACGTGTGCCAACAGAATCTCGGCCAGGTCATGTAGCCCTGATAGCTGGGTTTTATGAAGATGTCAGTGCAGTTGCCAAAGGTATTGTCTATTTAGACAATTTTATTAGATCAAAAATTTGTTATATAGATAGTGCTTCTTTACTACTGAATCATATCACAAAGTGAAAAGTATGTTTTGAGATACTTTTGACAAGTGTTTTAGCATGCTTTACTCACATGAACACATGCTAGTATTGATTCTAGAATTAAGCTTTAGCCTTTCATCATCCCATGCTATTGAAGGAGTGTGGTTGGATAGATCCATGGTTTTCCTAGATGTTACTCTCAAAGTTCAAATGTGATTCTACATTTTAGTAAAAAGTAAAATATCTACTGTTAGTTTTTAAAAACGTATTGGTATAATACATGTAACATAAACTCTATTAATAGTTTTGCATTTATCTTCTGACTAATATCATTGTTATTATTTGAAGAATCCTTCTGTAGTGGCTTATTTCACCATGTACATACTATTATTGTTATTGCTTGCTTTCTTCCTCAATAACCTGAAGGATGGAAGGAAAATCCTGTAGAATTCGATTCTCTTTTTAACGAAAGCAAGTACACATGGAGTTGGGGGAGCCCAGATATCTTGCCTATGTTTGCCAAAGGTAAGAGTCATTGATTATATTTCCTTATTCAGTAAATAGATAATAAATCAATATGGTAGTTTTTTATGTACTACTTATTATATTTATTGATTTTGAGACACATATTTTCACCTTTTTTAACAAATCTGAAATAGGGATGTGTATGACAATGGATAGACATATCAGCTTAATTGGCAGTTTTTTCTTTAGTCGTACTTGAAATATTGGCATATCATATAGTTAGATAATATTTTTGATTCAATGAAATGGTATATGGCTCTATCACTTAACAGCTTTATGATCCTGGGCAAGTTAGATAACCTCTCTGAGCTTCAGTTTTCCTTTTTGTAAAATGTAATAATAATTCTATATCATAGTTTTGTCTTTAGAATTAAATTAGATAATTCATGTGAAACATTTACGATAGTGCTTATCACATAACTTCATTATAATAATGATGTTGATGTCTATTTCATTATACTTTGATAGATTATTAAGGAAGTTAGTAGATATTTAGATGAATATTTAAATGTTAAAATTTATATTTATAATTTTTATTTTAATATAGTGACTATGCTATGTATTTTGGCATTTAATATATATGAAATTTAATATATTGTGGCATTTGAATTTGTTGTGTTTGTTTATGTGCATGATTCTGCAAGTATTAGGACATCTCTTGATTAGGAATTTATATATATTATTATTTTTTAAATCAGTTGGGTAGATTTCATGTAGAGTGATTGATCATTTCACTAATGGAAACATTTTGTAATGTTATACTTAGCCATGGCTATAATTATAATAATTAGAACCACTGACGATTATTATGTGTTCAGAAAGCAAAATATATATTCAGAATTTTATATATAATGCTCATAGAACATTATTATACTGGGCAGGCCCCCAAACCTCAAACTGCTTTCTGTTATATGTTTCCTTCTTTGGAAAGCCCTTTGGCTTTCTGAGGGGCTGGTGTGGTGCGAGTAGATTAAGCTGCTATGGCTTGCCAAACTAACCTTCCTATTTCTGGCTGCAATTGATGGGATAGGACTGATTCCTGAATTGGAGACAGTGTAATAGGAATGTTCCATTTCTCGTAGTAACCAACAAGCCCACTCAGATCTTTTTATTTGGGATGTGAGAAGATGTAGTATGGCTAAGCAGTGGAACAGAATGATCAGAGCTGAATTGATGTTATAGGGATTGTTATTACTTCATTATATCTTTTCCTTATTACCTGCAAGAGGTTATCTAATGCAGGAATTCACTAAGTTGATTAAATTCTTAATAAAATCTTGCAAATGTGTAAGATTAATATATCTGTTGACCTCTTCAAACTATTTGGCAATAAGCAATATTTATTTTTTTATATTGAGAAAAATATATAGTCTATGAATAAGAGAAGTATAATTTTTAATTTTCATGTTACTTTGGGAAGGTTTATGTATCATGTATCTTCATCTATTTTATTTGTTTATTATTTTTTATTTAGAGATTGCTCTTTCTGAATTCATCTGTTTTAGATTACAACATCTTAAGAGACACACATTTTTTAAAATAGTTTAATCCTTAAAAGGAGACAAACTTTGTTGCTTATTTTTATTTTATTGCTTATTAGGATTATGACTTTGGCAAGTTAATTAAACTTACATGTAATGTATCTGTAAAATTAAGATTATTATTGTGAGGACAAAAAGCAATAGAATATATTAAAGTATCTAGCATGGTCCATGTCACATAAAATAAATAAATGTTAATTATTCTTCCCACTTTTCACTTCTTTGTCGTAACACATAGTGCTTTGTGAAAAATTCTGGTTGTTTACAAAAATCTTTAATCTTTAAATCTTATATTTTGTGATAGTTTTAAAAAGATTTATAAAAAGTTTTATTTTTTCCAAATTTCCTTTTCAGGTGCTAGTGGAGACCATGTTTATACACATAGTTATGATGCGAAAAAAGAAGATTTTGGTGCCCATGATGCAACAAAACTGGATAGTTGGGTTTTTGATAATGTTAAGGTACGTGCCATTGAGTGGTTAATGTACAAAACATATTTTTTTACCTGAAGTACTGGAAACCAATGTGTTAGTAAATGTACCTTAAGTTTTTTCTGCTTGGATGAACTTGAAAGTTCTATATTGTAGCCCACTATTTTAAAAAGACTGAATTTTAAGAAATTATGTAGTCTAGAATAACCAATTAGTGGAATTTAAAAAAAATAATTTTAAAAATATAATCTTTTAGAATTCTGTGTTTATGATAGTAAAAGTAGCCCTAGATTAGGATTCAGGAAACCTACATTCCATTTCTAGTTTGGTGAATCATCCTAGGTAAATTCTGATGTTTTGTTGACTGTAGAACCAGTCTCTTGCTGTAGTAGACTATGTGAAATGTGAGAGAGCCTGTTGCAAAATGCTGTTCAAATGTTATATTAATACATTTATAATGACAAAGTAGATAATTTTTTAAAAAATTTTGTCCTTTAAAGAAAAATTAGATAAGCAGATTAGAAAAGCAAAAACACGTTATAGTCATTATTAGGTTGGTGTATTAAATCCATTTTTGACTTAAGAGATTTTCAAGATAATATCAAGATATATCAAAAATATAAGATAGAATATCTTATATTCTAAGATATAACTTAGAATGGGTTATTAGGATATAACCTCATTGGCATTCAAGGAGCATCTGTAATTCAGTACTGTTAAGTATATTCACAATGTTGTGCATCCAATCTCCAGAACTTTTTCAACTTGTAAAACTGAAACTCTGTATACATTAAACAATAACTCCTCATTCTCCCTCCCCACAACCCTTGGCAACCACCATTCTACTTTTTGTTTCTATGCATTTGACTACTTTAGGTACCTCATACCATGATTAAGTGGAATCATACATTATTTGTCTTTTTTACAAATGGCTTATCTCACTTAGTATAGTATCCTCAAAGATTCATGCATGTTGAATCTATTCACTTTTTAAAAATGCAGTTCATGCATCATCTCTTCCATTAGGTCTTTGACTTTGCTTTACTTTACCCTACTTTCAGCTCGACTTAAATAACCCTCCTCTATATTTCCTTAATACTTTATTATACTGTGCTATAATTGTTGATGCATTGGCATATTCCCCTTCAAACCTATATACTTCCTGTTGGCAGAGATACTGACTTTTTCACATTGTTAATTCTAAACTCCTGTCAAGGAATTGTTTGGTACATAGATATGTGTATTAACTTTGATTAAGTTCAGTTCTGTGTAATAGAAAAAAAATATGGCTTAAAAGTTTATTTCTATCTTAGTAAAGATAATGGCAGAAGTAGACAACCAGGGACTGGTGCAGTTATGAATACTATCGTGATTCTACAGTGTCATTAAGAGCCAATCTCCTAAAGGTTTCCTCTAACCTCAGAGCATGAGTTTTATTTTCATGGTTATCTCATGATCCAAAATAATGCTAGATTTCCAGATGTCATTTCAGTGTTTTAAGCCAACAGTATGAGGAATCAAAAAGGACCTTTCCTCCTACTGAATTACATTTATTTCAATGAGCCTTAGGTCCACATAACTTTTTGATTGAAATGTTTTTACTTAAAGCTCTTTGGTTACAACCATAAAGGCACGTCTAACTGCAAGAAACAATGGGTTATTTTGGATGTGTAGGTTTTGAGTATTGGCATGTCCCATAAAATCAAAGGTTTTTGCTAAGGGAAAAGAGGAGAATGCATTTAGCAGTCTCCCATGGTACATAATAAATATTAGTTGAGTATAGAAATGAATGAGTAGTTTGAAAGCAAAGAGACTGAGAAAAAGTGGGAGCTGGTAGGCATAAGTATACTGAGTATTAGAGGAAAAGAAACTAGGAGTATATTTTACCTCTTATATCTGGAAGATCATCTTTTAAAAATGAGAATCTAACGATGAGAGAGATATTGATCTCTGCAAGATTAGTATTTTATAGCTTCACAGATTGTATGTCTGTATATGAAGAAATAGCACTTTTTACGTAGCAGAATATTTTTTACCAGTCATAGAATAAATTCTAAATTTAACTCAAGTCAGTTGCTCAGTTTTTTTGATGCTATTTTAAACAATTGATTTCTATTCTTGAAGAGCTAGCTTCTCTAATGGTACAATTTGTATTTTCTTAACATTTATGATAATGAAGAATTATTTGAAAAATATTGAAATATTTTAGACTTTTGTGGAAAAGTTAAACATCTCTTGCTATTAAAAGCTAACATCTACTATAGTTAGAGACATTTATGTAAACAACAGAGGTATATTTTGGAATAGCTTGTTGAACTTGTTTTAAATAATTTAAAAGTACTCTTCATAGGTACTTGCATACACGTTCATGTTTATGTGGGTACAAGGTGAATCATTTGTCTTAGAAGAGATTTATGAATCCTGTTTATCATTATGAAATTGATATAATACTTTTTAAACTATGTTTTATTAAATAGATGTTTTTCTGTCACACAGTGTAAAGAACAGATTCTAGTTGGGGTAAAGGAAGTAATTAGGAGGCTATTTGCAATGTTCTAAATGGGAGATTGTGGTTAAACTACAGTGGTAGTAGAAAGGACTATGAGAAGTGGTCTCACTCTGAATATGTTTAAAAATAATAAATCATTCTTAAACTATTACCATTATTACTGTTTTATTTTTGGCCCTTGCCAAAATATTTCTTCCATCTTCCATATTTTATTAAATTAAATTATAGAATGAACAATGTTATGAGATCTTTATGGAATCAAGATCCCCTTTGTATAATCTTTTTTTGGCCTAATTAAAACAAAGAAAATAGCTCACTCATTATTTAAACACAGATGTCTGAACTGATAGCAAAGACTGTGTTGGAAGGTCTCTAGGGCAAATTTAAACAACATAAGATAATTTTGTATTAATAGTTATATATAAATTTAGTTAAATGTTATTATCGGTATTATTTTTTAAATAATAAGTGAACTAAATACTTTAAATAATTTGTTACATATAGGACTTCTTTCATGCTGCCAGAAACAACCAGTCTTTGTTTTCTAAAATAAATGAAGAGAAAATAGTTTTTTTCTTACATTTATTAGGACTAGATACAAATGGACATGCTCATCGACCATCATCAAGGTAATTTAATTCTTTGTTCAATTTGATATATTTTGAGGAAAGCAGCAATTCTGTTTGAACTTTTAAAGTATTATAATGTTTTATTTGTAATTATAACAATAGAACTAATATTTTAAATAGCTATTGTAATATGCAATAAGCTCTCACTTATATGAGATATAGTATTATTTAGTGGTTAAAATCACATGTGCTGTGGCTAGAGTACACATTAGTGTAAGTGAAATTTATCCTGTACATATATTCAATATTCTTCATTTATCAAAGCAGATAAAAGTATTTTATCTAAAATGTCTGTATATTTTAGTAGCATTTTCATTGAATCTTTTAATAAAAAGCATTTTAGGGTATTAATTTTTATATCACAAAAAAGATATGTAATTAGCTATTCCTTGTGTATTCCATCTAATCACTGTTGTATCTAGCAAATAATTATATAAAGTTTTGTGTACTATAATATGGTAGCACTCCTTATATGACAGCAAATATTTTTCTCATTTTTGCAGACCATAAGAAAAAGGAAGAAACTATATTTTACTTTTATTCTTTATTTTGAATTTGGTTTAGATTACCCTAACTGTAACCATAAAGCCAATAAGGTTAGCTGCCAGTAATGAATTCCTCACATTCCCCTTCTTTAACCTGATGCACTGTTTTAGTTAATGGAATGTTCATACCAAACCAACTTTGTTCAACTGTATGGAAAGCTTAAATATAATTTGTTAAATCATATTTTGTTATTGTGTTTTATATTCAGACAGTAGGGATTAAAATATTGTATACTTGAAACAGTGATACTTATCTATTAATGTGGCCAGAGCAGTATAGAGTACATTATGAGACTGAATTTGAAAGTCATAATTATCTCATTTGAAATCTTAAAAGTGTTCATTAAAATGTACTTGATTATTAATACCCTTCTTTTAAAACATCTCTGAAAACTAATTCAGGTTCTTTTGCTTTAATAAAAGGAGAAAAATATTTTTAATAATCTAAAGAGCTCTGATTTTTTTAAGAGCTCTGATTTAAAAATATGAAAATATGAAATCTAAAAGCATTTCAGGAGTTACTGACATTGAATGTAATGAGTTCATGTTGAATAAATTTGATTTCTCCAAATTAATTTAATTTGTTTTTTTTCTTTATAAACAGGGACTATAAGGACAATATTAAAAAAGTTGATGATGGAGTAAAGGAAATTGTATCCATGTTTAAACATTTTTATGGAAATGATGGGAAAACGACATTTATCTTTACCTCTGACCATGGAATGACAGACTGGGGTTAGTCTGTCTTTAATTGATATGCATCTTACAATTAAAGTAGTGGTAAATGTAGCTTACAAATATAATCTTGGGAGGATTAAATACCTTAGTGTGTGCAAAGTGTCTAGCACATAATAACTGTATTCTTAAAATGTTAGCGTAAAAAATAACTGATCTTATATAAAGAATCTTTTTTCTAACTATAAAAAGAATATATATTCATTTATAAGTGAGTAACTATGAGTGTAGAGAAGAAAATAAAAAGTACCTATTATTTATCTACATGGAATTAACTGTGTGAGATGGCAAAGGGGTGATGTTAAGATTGCATTAATGAAGGACTTAGTACTGCTGAAATTCTGTTCTAGATAAGCCTGTGCTTCCCCCATGAGATTCCCAAGACAAACACAGTGTGCGAGTAGTGAACAAAATAAGACAAAAATGAAGTTTGGGTCCTCACACCACAATGTAGAATTCTAGTGAGCTGCATTCCCACTTTATAAAGGGCTTCTTTTGACTATACCAGCCAGAGTAGCCTGGAAGAAAACCCAGAGACTTTATCATCCTCTTCAGGATGGACGTAGCCTATACTGCATGCCCCAAGCTTGGGTGATTACTGACCAAAGGAGCTGTCCCTGTTCTTTCTGTCTTTGGTGCTACTCTGGCAGCAGCAATCTTTTCTTACTATTTTTCTTCTTCTTTCAACTGGTTATTCAGCAGATATTTTGATTTTTTGTTTTGTTTTTTACCTATTTGTTGTTGCTGCTCTGACTTGTACTATGGGAATATGTTTAAAATAATTGTTATGAAAAGTTATAAGCATTTGGGAATGTGCCGGCTTGAATTAACTATATTTAAATCAATTCTTTAAAACAAAGTATTTTTTTAAAAAAATTAGCTGTAAGTTCTTCTTTACTTGTCTTATTACTCTTGGTATCTGATTTATAGGTTCCCATGGGGCTGGTCATCCTTCAGAGACTTTAACTCCTTTGATCACTTGGGGAGCTGGAATCAAGTATCCTCAAAAAGTGTCAGCTCAACAATTTGATGATGCATTTTTGAAAGGTATAAATGTTTATCTTTATTGTTTTTATACAGATGATATTTTAAAATAAAATCAACGTTTAATTAAAAAAAACACTTTTCAAACTATAGTTTTAAATTCCTCATTTTGATATTTGTGCCATTGCTATTTCTCTACAAACACTACAAACCAAGGTGTTTAGTTTTTTTCTTTCTCTTCTCTCAGAGCCATTTGTTGTACGTTTCTAGGCATACCACTGCTAATCACTATTTAGAACTTTCCAAACATTTGGTAAATCAAATTTTCAATCTTTGTTTATTAAATTAATTTATTGATTAATTTGAATGTGAGGTACAGTAAATAAAGATTAAATAAATAAAATCTAAAGTTTCTTGGAGGTAAATCATAAATTTGGTCGCAATTTTCCAACCCAAATATTAATAAAAAGCATGCTGTTAGTTACAAAATCATAGTTATCTACAAGATATTAGATAAAAAGCTGGATGTGATACCAAGCTATATCTACCCTGGGCCCTAATAAAGACAGGAAGGCATGGTGAGTAATCTACTCAATAGTATGTCTTCTCTAAGTAATGGTGCGTTTGTCAGTGGAGAGCACCATTCCAAATCACAGGCCTACAGAGGAGGCATTTGACAGAGTGCCAACATGATGCAGCCAGTGCACTGTCATGATATTTCCAGATTTATTTAAGCATAAAAATGAAACAAATATAAAGGACTCTTTTTTCATCTACTATATATCTTTGGGATAGTCCTTGCCTTCACAAAACTTAGTATTTTAGTAAGAGAGTTAAAACAATTGTAAACAAAATTCATAGATTATTAACTGCTATGAAGGAAATTAGGGTACTGTGATAAATAGATAAGAGGAAGTAGGGCTGGGCTTCTTTCCTCCTTGCCCCTCACATTTTTATTGAGATATTTGGTAAAGTAGGTAAAGTGCATTAATCTTAAATGTATAGCTTGATGAATTTTGCATGTGTATAGGCACCATGTAATCACCACTCAGATTCACATATAAAACATTTATAGTACCCCAGAAGTTTTCCCTTGTGTAGTAGGATACTTTTTGTAGAATGGGCTGATAGTAGGTTCACAATAAGGCTAAGAGGGAACCATTCATATGAAGGTGAGGGTGGGAGTGTTCTAGGCAAGAGAGATTAGCAAATGTGGAGGCATAAAATGGAGAGAGCTTAGCTTGTTTGAGGTGCAGAAGGCAGCTGATGTGGCTGGAGCACTGTAGGCTAGGAGAGTACAGTGAGTGGGGAGTCTGGAGGGGTAAGCAGGAGGTAGATCAGTTGAGACATGAAAGGCCATGGGTAGGGGACATGAAGTGAGTTATGAGTGCATTGCTATATCACTAAAGCATGTGAAGTAGAGCACTGCCAAGATTCCAGTTTGTTGTAGCAGCTACCTTTCTGTCTGCTCTGTGATAAATGGATTGGACTGGGTCTAAATAGAATAGTATGAATAGTATGGGTGAATAGTGTGTTTGTACTTAGGAGATTTACCTTTATTTTAGTATTTGATTTCCCAGTGAATTATGTTTTAGAATCACATGAGTTGAGGCTTGTTTGTTGGTTCTAGCAGGGGAGTGCAGCTACTCGTATACCTTTGACTGAAGAATGGTCCTCCTCTATCTGGGAAGGTCATCCTCTTCCACCCAGCACACAGCTTCGGGAGGGACTCACATGGAGCAGTAAGGGAGAAAGGGGACATCGCCTAGCCAGCCAGATCAGGTGAATCTACCCTGGCGAACAATGGGAGACAGATGTTACAGCCAGGTCGCCCTCACATCCAAGAATCATGTGACTTTAAGAATCGTCACAGAAGGAATATATTTTTTCCTATATGAAAATTAAATATCATAAGTTATAGAGATGGGGGTGTGCATTTTTTCCTCATACAGGTGATTAGTGTGAATTTTTGGTGGCTGACTAGTAGAAGCAGAAACATATTTTTAAACCTTATTAGTTTATTAAAGCATTTTAAAAAGTTTAATAAATCATCACATAAAACACCAGATATTTACTTTTCAGTTTTTTTTTTACTCTTTTTTTAAAAAGGTTTTCCTTTTCTTTTTTTAGGCTTCTTTTTTTTTATTCTTTGGTTTAAATTGGTTTTTTCCTTTCTTTTTTTTTTCCTTTAGTTTTTGTGGCTTTTTAAAATTCAATTGTTTTTTTTTTTAAAAATTTTAACACCAGGTCTCATGGCTGATTGTGTTTTTCAGAATGGAGATTGGAGAACTGGAAAAGGCGAGATGTCAATCAGGTCTGTTTCAATTTAATCACATTCAAATTTAATGTCATCTCCTATAAGAAGTTTAGACAAAAAATATGAAAAAATAGGTATGTTAATAATATTGACAAAGTCTTTTTCAAAATATTTCAATTACTAAAGGGAATACTTTTAGGGCAAATACTTCAGCCCAACTAATTTCTCTTGTGGGAAAATAAAAACCAAAACAAAACAAAGAAACAAGTGAAAATAAAAGAAGACTCCCTCAAAACAACACTGGATAATTATTTGTTATATAAATTGAAATTTGTGTGACTGTTAAATTTCTGTGATTTCTTCTTGTAGTTGCATTGCTTACTTTAAGCATAGATCTAATAAAGCTCCTATTGTAGTTTTCTCTCCAATAGTATGTCAGTTAATGTTTCTTCTTTATTAACACATATTTAACCTTTAATTCTAATCAGTATCCTTACAAATGCAATGGGAAAAAAGTAACAAGAATATAAATTACTCAGCTAAAAACCTTCTGTACTGGAAAATGTGTGGCAAACCTAATAAAGTTAGACTAGTAGCATTGTCTATAAATATGAAGCACAGAATCATCATTGTTAAAAATATGTTACTTTCATAGCCATCTTCCCCATTTGTAGAAGGTGTGTAGCATCACTAGGATATGGCTTCCAAAGTAGCAGGAGTTTCCTGCCTTCCAGGTGGCCACACGAGCTGACATTCCTTACGGTGCTGGAGAAGCCAGGTCTAAAGTCTCACTTTTGCCCATAGTCAGACCAGATCATAATCAGAAACTGAATGTAGATTTGGCTATTTTTTGTGAATTCTCAGAGTCTGTCAGCTAATACTCCTGCTTTAGATCTGCATCAGATAAGAATCTCTTTATTGATTCATTCTTTCCACCAACACGGTTACGTGTCTGCAGTGTGTTTAAACTTTGTATTAAGTATAAGTGATGTAATGGTGAGTACAAGCAGACAGGATCCCTGCCCTGGGAAGCTTATACTTTAAGGGCGAGAACAGATACTAACTGAACTAGTTTACAAATAAATGTAGTATTGTAGCTGTGAAAAGTACCACAGAGGAGGCCCGTGAAGACATGAGAGCATAGAGTTGATGTATCTAGTAGACTGTGGTCAGCACAAGTTTCCTGAGAAGTTGAGGATCAAGCTGAGATTGAAAAATAAACAGGAATTACCAGGCCAAGGCAGTAGGAGGAGAGCTTTCCCTGCAGAGGGAGCAGCATGTACACAGAGCTCTGGTAAGAGGGAACATGCTTGTATTAAAGGGTCCTGAAGAAAGCTGGTGGACAGCGCAACAGAGACTATGGGGTGATGGGAGGCAGAATAAAGGAGGCACAGACCCTGCAGGGCCTTAATGGGCCTTGTGGACTTAATCCCAAGCTTGGGGAGCCCTTGAAGTGTTTGAAGCCTGGAGAGTAATGCGATTCAGTTTATTGTGAAAGAATTGGCTGCAGCGTGGAGAAGAGATTAGAGGCTAGCAATGGGTTCTGGAGGAAAGGGAAAAGGTGATTAGGAGGACTCCAGAAATTTTCAACTTTCTGGGGGATGGTACTTAGTACAGACAGCACAAATGGTAACAGTGAGAAAGATTGAGCGAGCCTGAGACCCCCAACAAAACCTCCACATTAAATTAGGGACTAATGAAGGTATCTGAAAGGAGCAGGCAGTGAGATTGAAGAAACTCAGCTGTGTGGGGGTTAACAAAGGCCAAGAAAGGAGTGTTCTAAGCCATGTTGCTGAGGGGTCTAGTAATAACAATAACAGCAACAGCAACAGTTGCAGCTACCATTATTGCAGGTACTTTAGAAGTTTTATCTCATTTAATCCTGCCATAACTGAGGGGGAAACTTTATATATATATATATATATATATATATTTTTTTTTTTTTTTTTTTAACTGGTAAGGGAATTGATGCATTGGAGAGATTGAATAACCTGCTGAGATCTCAGAGATTGCAAGCAAGGATTTGAAACTGGGCATTGTGATATCCAAGCACTTTATCACTGAAAATTATAAGGACACGGTCAATTATATTTAGAAAAAAGTGGATATTCCTAGCTCTCTTAGGAAGATGAGTCTGTGGAATGATAAAGGGTCAAAACAAGTTAGAGTAGGCAGAGGAATGATGGGAAGATGAGGAAATGAAGACAGAAAGAATGAACAACTCTTCCAAGGAATTGGACTTGAAGAGATGATATCCAAAGTGGTATTTGGAATCTTTTAACTAAAGAGTCTCTTCTCTGTTTTATATCTTTCCTGGATTTCGCTGGCTGGCAAAATCTCTTTCTGATAGATTTTTCTTTCTTTAATTAATATATACATTTCTCCAGTTAAAATCTTCTTTCAATATTTATTTTCTGTGTAGTTAAAGCATCCTTTGCATGGAGTGAAAACCTGTTACTTAAAATGGTCAAGTTCTTAGCTGTTAGGATAAATAATTTTTTCCTTAATGTTTTCTTTTAAGATTTATTTTTTCATAAGTTCCTGCATCTGTAGCAGATGACATTTTTAGTGATTAATATCTTGTGTTTCTTAAATAGATATTTGAAGGTAATTGATTATAACAAATACTATGGTTATATTCCAAATTATAGTTGCGTTACATTATTTAATTTCATTGTTGATATCTGTAGACTTCTTAGAAATGAACTTTTTCTATTTGTAGGCTGATATTGCACCACTGATGGCTTCTCTTATTGGAGTTCCCTTTCCCCTTAATTCAGTGGTAAGGTATAAAATTATCAACTCTCAGTATTAAAAAAATATTGCATAGTAAAATTTACCCTTTTTTAATGTTTCCATATAATCTTCGATTACATTTAAAACTATATATTCCTGTATATTTATTTCTAAATATGTAATACCTCATAATTGTGTGTGTATTATAATCTATAACATGGAGCACAAGCCCAATAGCTTTTCTTTAAAATTTTTTATTTTACAACCTGTATATGATTCATATCTTTGTAGTCTAGTTATAAGTGATAACAGTATATAGATAACTTTTTGATACAAGCCCCAGAAACTAAGTATGTTTAATGGGAAATTATTGAAAAGATATTGGTGCTTTACTAAATCTAAGGGGTGCTTGAAAACCACGCTTTGAAATGACCAGGAACCAAGAGAGCTCTGGAGACTGAGAAGAAGGAACCACAACCATGATCCCATGGCAGAGCCATTCTGCTCAGGGCACTGACACTAGGGCAGAGAAGAGTTATACCTGTTTAGTGTTTGTTTTTTGACTCTCAAGTGTCAAATTCCAGATCATCTAGCTTGGGTTATTTGTCTACCTTGATTATAAGCCTACTATGTTATATTCAGTATGTAATACCATAAATATTTGAAGAAAAATTTAACATTTTCTAACTATCTCAACAAGCAGAGAATTAAATCTATCAATCATACAGAATAACATTACTGAAATATAATTAACACTACTTCCTTAACCAGTTGAAAACAAAATAAGTCAAACAGCTTATTAACAGTGTTAAGAATAACAGAAGATTTCTCAATACCAAAGATTTCTCAACAGAAAATGGTAATGCTGTTAAGAAAGGTCCTCGGATGCTGAAATGCCAAAAAACAAACAAACAAAAAAACTATTCTAACCAGCCACTGTTATTCACTCTTCAAAGTCAAACTTACTTAAAAAAAAAAAAAAGCCATCTAACTCAGAATGCTGAGTAATATGACCCCAACAATCATAAGTGTGTGTGTATGTGTATAACTGAAACAAAAGTTTCACAAAATAGTCTTTACTCTTACTATGTATAGTACACTCTCATATGTCTTATGTCTTTTTTTTTTTTAAAGTATAGTGGCTGTGACTTACTATAGTGATTGTTTTTTTATATGAAACACTTAGTTCATTGCCTAGAAGATAGTATTCTCTCAGTCAGTGCTAATTTTATTGAATTCAATTAATCTTTTTTGCTTTGTTTACTTTGTGAGAAAAATGATAGGACATCTTTCAGTTATGGTTTTAAAAAAGATTTTTTATTTAACAATTTCAGTTATTTGTCCCTATGCCTTATCTTTATTGCATTCCTTTTAAGTGTGTTTTGTGTTATAAGAATAGCCTGAGCTTTGTTAATACTAACACTAAGCCAGTTTTTATTATTTGCAGGGAATCCTTCCTGTGGATTATCTTAACAACACTGATCTCTTCAAAGCAGAGAGTGTGTTTACGAATGCAGTACAGATTCTTGAACAGTTCAAGGTGAAAAAAAAATGACAATACTACAATTGTAAAATCGAATATATAAAGTGAAAATATTTGATTTTGTGTTTTAATAAATGCTTTTTATAATTTATTATCTTTAAATTTTGTGTATTTGACAAGTATTTCACATTTCTGGGCTGTAGGTTTCATGACTGAGTTTGAAGGTATAGAATTGCCTTTGAGGAGTGTCCCTAATGTAAGATTACCATGTATGCTTATAAAAACTACAATCAAGTTACCTATAGGAATTTGCCCCACAGAAGTAGTATTAGAGATTGTAACATTTCTTGACATTCCATGTACATTATTAGATGATTAGCTTAAAGAGATGACCCTTTGACTAAAACTTTCTGTTATTCTTAACACTGTTAATAAGCAGTTTGACTTACTTTGTTTTCAACTGGTTAAGGAAGTAGTGTTAATTATATTTCAGTAATGTTATTCTGTAGTATTGATAGATTTAATTCTCTGCTTATTTAGATAGTTAGAAAATGTTAAATTTTTCTTCAAATATTTATGAAACAATATAATAAACCAGACTCCATTTATTTTCAAAGTATTATAGTTAACCATCCTTGAAGAGTTATTTTAATGGATATTTATATTTCAAAATGAAATTCATTAGTTTTTTTCTCATTTATAATAGAGTGTTTTCATGCTTGGTTCCCAGGTAAAAATGACTCAGAAAAAAGAAGTTACCTTATCATTTTTGTTCACACCATTTAAGTAAGTCCCTTATATTTCTTTATTAACTTGAAGGAAAGAATTTATGAGTTGATGCTGATAGGATAATTTAGCTTACTTATAAACTTTGTCTTTTTGTATACATTAGTATAAACCTCAAATTGAAATCTCTTTATTTTTGTTAAATAATGAGCCAGATGCTAAGATGCCTTTGAATGGCTGGAAAAGGGGATGGAGAGATGGAGAGATATATGAGAAATACTAAGGAGATGAATTCAACAGGGCTTTGCTGGTTGACTAGGAGGGTATAAGGGGCAGTAAGGAAGAGGAAGACTATGACTCCCTGGCTCTTGGCTTGTTTGCTTAAGAAAATGCTGGTACCATTATGGCTTATAGAAAGAAGAATTGATTTTAGAGACAAGGATGAAGATATTAATTACTTAGAAATAGGGGCTTGGATCTCAGGAGATATGTGTTGGTTATGAAGATTTTGGAGCCATCAGAATACAGGTGACGGTAGAAACTGTTACACATATAAGAGCCTCTAGGGAGAATGAAGAAAGGGACAAGTAAAGGCCAAGGATAGAATTCTGGGAAACATTGACTCCTACTGGGTGGGCAAAGAAGAGAGCCAACTTTGGTGGGCAGCAGATTTTGCTGTCTCAGATCCCAGGAAGAAGTGTTTTCCTTGAGTTAGGAAAGGGAAGATCTGAGACCTGGCTTTGCTGTGTATGACGTACTGACCGTGTATGTAGGCTTGGGCAATCTCTTTTGTAGTACTCAGTACTCAGCCTCTTTTGAGGTTCACATTCATTTAGCAAGGATTTTGCTACTGGCCAAAATAAATATAAATTGTTTCATCTGTGAGTCTTAGGGATGTGATTAATGACTTCATTGGAATTATTTTACTTATTTATTTATTTTAGAGGCAAAGTCTCACTTTGTTTCCTATACAGGAGTACAGTGGCTAGATCATAGCTCACTATAAACCTTGCACACCTGGGGTCAAGCAAACCTTCTGCCTCAGCCTCCCAAGTAGCTAGGACTACACATGTGCACCACCATATGCCTAGCTAATTTTTAAATTTTTTGTAGAGACAGCATCTCACTATGTTGCCCAGGCTGGTCTCAAACTCTTGGGCTTAAGCGATTCTCCCACTTCAGCCTCCCAAAATGCTGGGATTATAGGCATGAGCCACCACACTTTGGCCTTCATTGGAATTATTTTAGACAATTTATGTAGCACAAGTGTGGTATTCATAAACTAGAAAGGCTTAAATATTGTATTGCCCTCTCAATAATATGGTTGTATGCCTGAGCTTATGTGTGTGTGTGTATATGTATGTATGTATGTATGTAAGGGTGTATAATAAAAATAAAACAGAATTTTATAAGTCATCATATAAAATTAATTACCCTAAATATATCATTAGGATATTATATCAGATATATCTCTTATGCTAATTCTAATTTTTTATTATATTATAGTAGAGTTGAGACTTGTTAGTGGAATTCAATCTGAGGAATATGCAGGTGTTCATCCCTCTTTCAAGAAATATTTATTGATTGACTACTATGTGTATTGTGAATATAGCATTGAATAATATAGACAAAGACTTTGCATTCATAGAGTTTATTTACAGTATAGCAGTACAGACTAACCATACAAAATAAACAAGTAAACAAAGAAATACATTATCAATTCCTGGTATGAAGACTGTGAAAGTGAGAATAAATTAGGGTTATTTTACTTTAGCCCAGTCACTTTGGAAAGGCTGGTCAGGGAAGGACTCTTCAGCAAAGGTTCAGGCACACACTACTTTCCTTCTTCTACATGGCCCGTTAACTGACCATAAACTTTCCATAATTTGATGTTCAGTGTCTGCCTGTATGCACATATTTAGAGCAACAGCTAACTTTGTGTCACCTGAGGCCTAGCAGGATGCCTCATTCCCACTCACTGGCTCACCTAACCTGGAAAAGAGTGACCAGCCCTGCCTATAGACCAATCTGGCTAAAAATCACCACTAGCTGAAAGCCTGCAATATGACCAAAAAGGCCTAAGATAAAATGAGAAATTGACTCATGAGGAAATATATAATTTAGTAACAGAACAGAACCTAAAAATATTAAAATTCTCAGAAATATGTAAGAAACTTTTACATTCATAAAATTAAACCAGCACGAACTTTACAAAATGAGAAAGAATACAGGATGCATTAAAAACAATAAGGAAAAGAAATACAGCTAAAAACTTAAAAGACAGAGAAATTGTATAGAAATAGTTCAAATGGCAGGCAAATCCTCCAAGTTAGAATAGAAAGTGAGCAGACCTCCAGCTAAATGAAATGAATTTTAAGTAATAGAGGGTTTGAGTAAGAAGCTAGAGGAAATTAAGAACATGATGGCATACATAGAAAGCATACATTTCTTCATCCTTCATCAAAAAAGCAATGACAATCAGAAGCTGAGGGGAAAAGGAAACATTTCAAAATTTACAAGAAAGCATGCTTCAAATATGAAAAAACCTCAAGATGTGGCATGATTTGAAGCGTCGCTGAGAGTGTGAGAAAGGGAATTCATTTGAACATTGTCACACAGATCTAGGCTTTAAAGAAATAGATGGGAAAATCTAATCATAGCACAAAACTTTGTTACCCAGTGAACAGTATTTAAATAGTCATAATAATGTAAATCGTAGTTTTCAGCTTTAGAGTCAGCTATAGGCAAAGCAGAGAAGGATTAATTATGATTACAGAACAGAATGGAAATGTTACCAACCTTGACAATGTACAGTATGGTTAGTTAACAGGTTGGAATGCAAAGAGGGAAAGAAATGTACATGGACTGGTAATGGTGCTATTGTCCATATAAAATAGAATATGGAGAATTCTATCTGTAGTCAAGTGAGTCAGAGGTTTAGGTATTAGATTGTTAAAGTAACCAAGGTAGCCAGTAGAGGAGGTATATAGCCATATTGATGAGAAGGAGAGCCAGTGTTGACATGCCGTCAACAGAAAGTGCCTAAGGTCATTAGGTCAAGAAATAGTAAGAAAAGCATATTAAAAAAATGGAGGTAACTATCAGAATAACTTAAAAATCAACACATGTGAAAGTTTTTGGTCTAGTTTGATTAACTGAGAAATGAGAAAGGTGGAATAGGGACTTATTGATTGTCTTTATATGTATATATTGCTTTGATAAAACATATCTTAAAAGAAACAAAAATTAGATATGCTAATCATTGACAAAAATCAAGTTGAGTATGTAATAGGAAAAAAAACTACTCATAATAGAAAAAAAATACCCAGGAATAAAATATTGAGAAATGTGTATTGTGGTGAAAACTATCAAATTTTACATAAGGACATAACAGACTATACAAACAAATGTTGAATAGTACTGTTCAGTATTGTAAAAATGTCAGTCCTCTCTAAATTACTTACTAAATACAGTGTAATGACAAAAGGATTTTTAATATAACTCAAGAGAATGATTTTAAAATTTATATCAAAAATAAATTCTCAAGAATAGCTTAATTCATATTGAGAAAGAAGAACAAGATATGAGATTTGTTTTACTGGATAACAAACACATTCTAAATCTGTTATAACAAGTGTGATATTGACGGCAGGCAATACATATATATTAGTGGAACTGGTTAGAGAGTACATAGAGGGACTAGTGCCTACAGATGTGCCTCAACTTACACTGGGGTTACATCCCAAAAAACTCACTGTAAACTGAAAATATCCTAAGTCAAAATGCATTGACTACCCCTAATGTACTGAACATCATAGCTTAGCCTCACCTACCTTAAATGTGTGCAGAACACTTACATTAGCTTATAGCTGGACAAAATCATCTAACACAAAGCCTATTTTATAATAAAGTGTTGAATATCTCACATAATCTATTGAATACTGTACTGAAAGTGAAAAACAGAGTAGTTGTATCAGTACTTGAAGTACAGTTGCTACTGAATGTCACGCTAATGTAAAGTTGAAAAATCCTAAGTCAAACTATTAGAAGTTGGGGGATTATCTGGATATGGGATTTGGTTTTGATAAAAGATGACATTTCAAATCAGTAGAGGAAAGAATTGTACTAGGGAAATTAGCTGTTTATTTGGAAAAAATAAGCCTAGACCCTTTACTTCATTTCATTCATAAAACTAAATTCCACATTGATTAAAGAACAAAATATTTTAAAATAAGTAAAAGTGCGAGGCCTGTAAATAAGACATAAAATATAAATAGTCATATGGAGAACATGGATTTGATTATATTAAAATTAAATCCTTCTATTCAATAAATTAATATGGAAAGTTAAATAAATTTCAGATTAGGAGAAAATATTTATAAAATATGTTACAAGTATTGTAACTTATAGACTCTATAAAGAATCATATAGAAATACTTTTTTCTTCAGTAAGAGAAAAAATAATGACCTTATTGAAAATGGATGAAGGATAACTGAAAATTCACAAAGGAGAACATGCAGATGGTCCCTAAATTATGAAAAGAGGATCTGCCTCACACGTTTACTAGGCACTTTTTATGTGCTTCACATTTAATAAGTGAATTATCCCTCAATCCTGTGGAGTGGTTACTATTACTTCCCCCATTTTACAAATAAAGAAACTAAGCCACAAAGAATTTAAATAATTTTCCTGAGATTTTTCACCTGTAGGTAGCAGAGCCAGGACTTGAAACCAGGCAGTCTGACTTCAGGGTCAAGTACACTTTTAACTGGAACAACCACTTTGCAACGTAGTTTTTGAGTATCTCTTAAAAGAGTGCCCAAACTGTATGCCTAAGAAAATCCACTTCTCAAAGTCTATTCTCAGAGAATTGCTTGGATTTGCACAGTATCATTTTTATAGTGAAAACTGGAAACAAATGTCTATCAGTAAGAAAAATGGTCAAATTAACACTGGTAATATCTACACTGTAGAATAGTATATGGCAGTTTAAGAAGAATGAGGTAGTTTTATACATGCTTATATGGGACAATTTGTAAGTTGGATTGTTGAGTGGGAA